CATGGTTTGCGTTCTGTTTTCTACATGATTTGCGTTCTGTTTTCTACATGGTTTACGTTCTGTTTTCTACATGATTTGCGTTCTGTTTTCCACATGATTTGTGTTCTGTTTTCTACATGATTTGTGTTCTGTTTCTATTAACCCAACCTCTTTCTCCACATGCATATATTTACGCAAGGAAGATACACTTAGGAACATTCATATTGTTTACAAAAAAAACTAAACTACAGCTTCTGGGAGAAATATAAAAAAAACACTGTCTGAGTAGCACTGAGTTTGTTTACATTCCTCCCACAAACTGCAGTACATTATAAACAAACTTGTTAATATATGTTCTTGTTAGGAGCCTGGAGTACGTGAGTACACGGTACAAGGATTGCAAACCTTCTCCCAGTACCTGGTTTCCCTTCAGGTTATTAACCCTGAGGGCGAAGGTCCCAAGAGTACGGTTGTCGTCATGACAGATGAAGGAAGTAAGTTAACTCAAGTTCATCCTAGAGTTAGGGTTTAGTTTATATTTTATCCTTAACAAAGAAAAGAGACGGATAAGTACCCCCCCCCCTCTCACTGGAACTAAAGTGTTTTCGACGACAAATGCTAAAACCGAACTTTTTCTGTAAAAAAGTTTGGTCGAACTTCGAATGAAAGACGAATTTCGAAAACAAATGATGACATAATTCGACTGTTCGTGCGTGTGAAAGAAACATGTTTCCTCGAAATATTTGGTAATAAAAACAAGATTATTGATAAGATTATCTACTACATAAATTCTCAGGCAAAACAATAGTCTATACAATACAATGGTGATTTGACCAGAAAAATTGCAAAACTATTTGTGTTTAAACATTTTTACATTATTTAGTAAATTATTTATTAAATTAATATTTCTTGATTATAATTGACTTCTACATTGAAGGTTAATTTAATCAATTTGTTCACCCAATTTGGAGAGCACATTATACTTTTCCGCTTTCAATCCTACAATTTATCTATAAAGAAATGATAAACAAGTTGTTTTTATGTTTGTATTAGAAAAGGATTAGTTTAGATACAATTTTGCCAACCTAATCTGTTTTTAACAAGGCGCACTAAACCTACAATTTCGAAATCCAACACATTCTAGTTCTAGTTCTAGTTCTAGTTCTAGTTCTAGTTCTAGTTCTAGTTCTAGTTCTAGTTCTAGTTCTAGTTCTAGTTCTAGTTCTAGTTCTAGTTTTAGTTCTAGTACTAGTACTAGTTCTATATCTAGTTCTAGTTCTAGTTCTAGTTCTAGTTCTAGTTCTAGTTCTAGTTTTAGTTCTAGTACTAGTTCTAGTTCTATATCTAGTTCTAGTTCTATATCTAGTTCTAGTTTTAGTTCTAGTTCTAGTTCTAGTTCTAGTTCTAGTTCTAGTTCTAATTCTAGTTCTGGTTCTAGTTCTAGTTCTAGTTCTATTTCTAGTTTTAGTTCTAGTTCTAGTTCTAGTACTAGTTCTAGTTCTATATCTAGTTCTAGTTCTAGTTCTAGTTTTAGTTTTAGTTCTAGTTCTAGTTCTAGTTCTATTTCTAGTTCTAGTACTAGTTCTAGTTCTATATCTAGTTCTAGTTCTATATCTAGTTCTAGTTCTAGAACACTATTTTTCAAATCTCAATATATTTGCAACCTGATATTGTAGGTCTTTGATATATCAAACTATAAATTCTGTTAGATTAAAAAGTCAAAGTTTGAAATATCATAAGTTTACATTTTCAGGTGGAAATGATTTTATATACATATAAAGAAAGGAAAATTAGAGTTTTAAACGTGGGAGTAATCAGTTTCTTTGCTGAAGCACAAAATGAAATATTTTTCAGTGACGATGAGTATTCACTTGAATAATTTTTTAGTATTTTCTTCATATTATTTTTCTTGTTGTAATATTAAACATTCTATCTTCAAATCTGTATGTCTCGAATGTAACGATTTCTTGGTTTTAGTCCCAAGTGCTCCTGAGAATGTTGAAATGAAAAATATTACCAGTGAGAGTGTACTTGTATCATGGAGCTCACCTAAACAACCTAATGGGATTATATTAGGATACAGGTATAGTTTTGTATATCCTTGTATCCTTATATCCTTGTATCCTTGTATCCTTGTATCCTTGTATCCTTGTATCCTTGTATCCTTGTATCCTTGTATCTTTGTATCCTTGTATCCTTGTATCCTTGTATCCTTGAATCCTTGTGTCCTTGCATCCTTGAATCCTTGTATCATGCACCCCTGTATTCTTATATCCTTTCATCCTTGTATCCTTGTAACATGTTTTCCATGTAGGTTGTACTATATGCACACTAACTACACTGATGTTCAAACTATCAGAGAATCCACAGAAAGATCCAGTTTTAACCTCACAGGACTAGGTAATTACAATTCATTATAATGTGCACTGCAACATAAATTAACTAGTTTATAAGGCGCCCATCTTCGCTTTCATCTTATAATCGAGGCTCTATGTGTGAGCATCTTCTCTTTGTAATATGAAACAAAAAAAAAAAAAATCACAGATTTAAATTCAGTGTCGACTTACAAATCATTTTTGGTTTATTTCAAATTTACAAGATGCCCCCCTTCCCCGCCCCCCAGCCCCAGGGGGGGGGGGGCATGATTTCTAGGTTTTTCCAAAAACCTTATATTTTTCTTTGGTTCTAGCAATATAATTATAGAATAAGAAGATATTGATATGAATGCATAAGTAACTAGAGTCTATGCTTGTACTTCTCTTTACTGAGAAATAAATGTATTTATTAGGTTTAGGCCTTACATTCATTGGGTTTAGGTATTTATTATGGACGAAAAAATGAAAGGGGGTATAGGCTTACATCGAAAAATAAGTGCTTTTGATCGCTGCTAATCTTACTTCTANAAATAAATTTGACAAAAAAGTGTCCAAAAACACGAGAATTAAGAGACGACTTGAAAATCGTCTTTGATTACCATTAATTAATAAATGGCAATCAGTGTATAACAAACATTGATCTCATAATTTAATGAAATTATATTTTCGCGTTTAGTTTTTTGCTGAGTAAAAATAGATTAAGAAACATCAATATCATATGGATGAGACTGAGGCATATATATTGAATTTTCACAGTATTGGCTCCAGTAGAAAAATAAAAATAAAAAGAACCATGATTTTCTAACAAATTAGCTTAATGTTCTAAATCATCACTCTAACCTCCTCCCCCTCCCCCTCAAAAAAAAAAATAATCATTGGGTATGTATATCTAAAGCCACAAAAATACAGAGTCAAACATAATATCAATCCATCCAGAAAAGTTGCCAAACTAACCCTGATTAAAAAAGTTAACATCAAAGTTGTTTAAACTACGATGATGCATGCCTTACTGTATTTGTTTGTTTGTTTGGATATCCGATCATAACTCGTGAACCCTTAACCGATTTACTTAAAGTTTTGATTGGGAACAGTAGAACAGTAGAATGTTTTTACCTTGGTTTCAAAGTTCTTAATTGAGTGGATTGGTTTTTTAAAATTTAATTTCCAGGCAAAGTTGGGTTCCTAAACTAGTAGTGTAGGAGATATTTAAGCTACACTAGTAGAAAAAGGCAGGGGGTCCATGGGCCGCAACAGTCTGGGTTTGGATAAATTATTATATTATTTAGAGCTGAGAGGCGGGAGGGGGGAAAGGAGGAAAGGGGATGGGTAAAGTGTAAGAGGGGTAAAGGGGATGGGTCATGTGTGAGAGGGGTAAATGGGATGGGTCAGGTGTAAGAGGGGTAAAGGGGATGGGTCAGGTGTAAGAGGGGTAAATGGGATCGGTCAGGTGTAAGTGGGGTATAGGGGATGGGTCAGGTGTAAGAGGGGTAAATGGGATGGGTCAGGTGTAAGAGGGGTAAAGGGGATGGGTGAGGGGTAAATGGGATGGGTCAGGTGTAAGAAGGGTAAAGGGGATGGGTCAGGTGCAAGAGGGGTAAAGGGATGAGGAAGGCAAGGGAAAGGAAAGGGTAAGATAGAGAAAGAAGATGGGGAGAGGTGGATGGATTTTAGGGGGGAAAAGGGATGGGTTAGAGAGGGGTAAAAAGAAGGGGTGACAATGGTTTAAATTGTTTCACGAAGTTTCAAAGTTCTCCCTTTTTCAGCTTTTAAACTTGAAACCAAAGTTAAATGGAATTTAATTACAATTTCAATATAGATCTCTTGCTTTGTTTAAAATAGAATTTAAAGGTTTGTTTCAAACAAATATGAGAATCTTTCTTGTTAATAGTTTAAATAGATATTAAGACATGTACCTGCATATCTGCAAATGTTTTAAAATCAAAAATTCACTTTTAGACTGGGATATTATTTTGAAGAAAAAATATAAAGATAATTTTTTTGACAAATATATTTTAAAGGGCTATTAAATTTTTAATCTTTACGTTTGTTAAACCCGGAAGCATTCAAGAAAACAAAATGGATGAGTTCAACTCCCCCCCCCCCCCCAAAGTTATGGGGGGGTAAGGTGTTATAATATTAAATTATCTAATGATAATGTTTTTAGGTTCGTACACTGAATATAGAATTTGGCTAAAGGCGTTTACCTGGAGAAATGAAGGTATTGTTTTTTTACTGAACGATCAGTGTCCGAATTTAATGAATTTAAGCCGCGTCTCAAATCCCCCAAAAACCGGTTTCGATTAAGCGCTGGCTTAAATCTTGAAAAATTGAATACAATTTCAAGTGAAACCAACCATTATTGAGCCGCGACTTAAATTTAAATTCTTTAAATTCGGCCTCAGTTTTTGAAAATAACGATGTTATTTAAACGAGCAATTTTACTGAACGATCGAATTCATTTTCAGAGAGAGAGAGAGAGAAAGAGATTCTCTTTAAACGATTGAAAAAAAACTAACGAAATGGGTCGGTCAATAACGATGAACGAAATAAAAAAACGCGCCAATCTCTGCAATTGTATTAAGAGCTTTTGAAGAGAACAAAATTGTTTTCAATTTCGAATATGTAACAGGAGATATTCACATTTTTAATATATAACAGGAGAAATTCACATTTCTAATATGTAACAGGAGAAATTCACAATTCTAATATGTAACAAAAAAAAATTCACATTTCTAATATGTAACAGGAGAAATTCATATTTCTAATATGTAACAGGAGAAATTCACATTTCTAATATGTAACAAGGAGAAATTCGCATTTCTAATACAGTGAAGCCCTTAATAAAGAATACATCGAAAGAATTTATCAAATGTCGTCTTAACAATTTTTCAATGAGTTTTATACTATATTACGTAAATTTCAGTATTTGCGAAAATAAATAAATAGCCATGAATATGAGGGAACAGTTTTAAAGAGTTCCATATAATCATTTAATTAAAAAACTAAATATCTGCAACCTTCCATTATCAGAAAGTGATGAATACGACATTTGCTGAATTCTTTCGATGTATTCGTTATTAAGGGTTTCACTGTATGTAACAGGAGAAATTCACATTTCTAATATGTAACAGGAGAAATTCACATTTCTAATATGTAACAGTTGAAATTTACATTTCTAATACTTATACGAAAAATTAAAACTAGAGGATCTATAAGGTCTTAAAGCTGGACCAGTAATGTCACATGAATTTCACCTTCTCGATCTGTATAGTTTACAGTATCCAACTTTATAAACATCAGTCTTGAAAGTTTAAAGATATTTACAATGTCAACAAATACGGTATTAGTTCCTTTGTGAAATAATCTTCTCTTGACAAATAATTGCTTCAACTTTTCCACGAATTAAAAGATTTTTTCCCAAATATGCAGATATCCATCCAACTATCTATCTATCAATGTATCTATCTATCTGTTATTTATTTGGCGTGTTGATTTGAATCCATAAACGAAAAACGTTGAAAGGTTAATGGAAGGTCAAAATTTAGATTTTTTTTTTAAATCAGCATTGCAGTAAAATTTTACAATGTCAGTTTTTTAAATATATTCACGAAAAACTGGTTTTTGTTCAAGGAATAGATTTTTTTGCGAGATGGCTGTGCAAAGCAACATTGAAGCCAATTGTAGTATATATTCTATTCTATTGTATAAGTTCCATTATTGTATCTGGTTAGATAACAAAGCATTTTTAGTTCCAGTTCTGTAATCTTTTTTCCTTTTTATTATTGTATATTATTCTTTCTTTTGTTCCTGGTTATTATAGTTTTTTTTCTTCATTTTCTATTATTCTTGTGGTCGTGTTCTCTTTCTTACATTATGACATTCCATAATTTTTTTTTGTTTGTCTTCCCCTTTCAATCTTATTCCTCGTTTTATTTTGACATGAGACCAAAACAAGGTCAATTCTACCATAATATTTCTTGAGATCGAATCGGTGGGTTAAAAATGTGAAACCAATGGCAAAGGTTTCCTGAGCTGAAAAATTTAGAATTGTGGATATCGAGATCAATGCTTGATCTCCTCTTTTTCTTGATCTCCAGATTAAATAATGCTTGTTCTCCTCTTGTTATTAATCTCCAGATTAATTAAGTGATTGGGATTAAGGATTCTAAAGTTTTCAGTTTTTTTTTCTTCTTTTTTTCCAAGATCAAAACTTCTGAGTTTTTAATCCTCGGCTCGAGAGGTTAATCGTATTCAAGTATTGAATGAGTTCCTTTTAGCTAGATAAATATATATCCCGTGGTGGAACCTAACATAGAGGGATAGCAAACATTAAGGGAACATCAAGTTCTAATCCCTTAAATTCAATAGTTGCCATAGTGGATATCAAGATCGAATAGCGCTATCTCACCAAAAAGTTCTCCTTTTTCATTTCAAAATTTCTGTTTTTAACATTTTTAAAATTTTTCCAATTTTCTGAATTTTCTTTTTTATTTAGGTTACTCCAGTTCTCAGTTTCCAGTGCGAACAGATCTGCGTAGTCCCCCCAGCCCCCAGATCTCCAACCTGACCTGCCTGCTCGACTCCTCGGTCTACCTAGAGTGGAGGGGGGAGGAGAAGACCAAGGTGGACATGTACTCGGTCTACTACAAGGAGGAGGGCGACACAGAGTTCATGGAAATTCTTGTTGAAAACGCCACAAATTTGGAATATAAGGTATCCTTCTATCTAATAACACTTTAAAGTAGGTATGTATTTATTTCACACTTTTGGGCGTCCCGATTTTTATAGAGCAGCCTCATTGGATTCATTAAAATAGTTTAGCCAATATACATCTATTGTTTGTATTCTGATCATAACTCATGAACCCCTGGACCAATTGCCTGACATTTTGATTAGGGAACTTGGTAGAACCATCAGAATGTTATAAATTGAGTGGTTTGACTTTACAGAGATAGTTTGGTTTCCAGGCAAATCTGGGTTCTTGAGCATTCAGTTAGTAAAAGAATTCTGGGATTTCTTGTTTCTTTCCCCCTCCTGCCCTCCTTTCCTCTTGTTTAGAAGACGACCTTTCAGTCTCTTCCTTAAAGGGAGTGACCGGCTATGTAAGGTAGTTGAACTGAGTATGCAGTGTTGTGGAAAACTTCTTTCGGATTCAATTGAGTCATATTAAACTATTTAAAGATCTGTAAATCCTGTGCTTGAGCGCAAATTCGACGTTCAAAACTCATACTTGGGGGGTGGATACGTTTTCAGAATCGGTTTTATTAAAATTACTAAATAACGACAGTAAAAATCATACAGTAATCTAATTAGATGGTTGGGAACATATTTCTCAAAAGAAATTTGTCAATAAATCAATGCTAGAATAAATTATTTCGTTTTTATCATTATATTGAATTTCTAATTTTCTTTGAATTTATTCGCAGATTTCTTCAGATTCTTCAAATGTCGTCTTTTTTCAATAATAATTCCAGAAAACCACACGGAAAATGAGGAACCCGTTTCAGGACTAAAAATAAATTTAAAATAAATATATTATATTTATTTTAATTATAACAGTTAATTTTTATTTTTTTTAACCTGTTCCGATACATGACGTCTGTATTTTATTGAAGAACTTTTTAAATTTTATGTCATCGTTATTTAATAATTTTTAAAAAACTAATTCTGAAAACGTATCCACCCGCAAAGTAGGAGTTTTGAACGTCGAATATGCGCTCAAACTCAGGATTTACAGATCTTTAAAAAGTTTAAAATGTCTCAAATGAATCCGAATTAAGTTTTCCACAACACTGCATACTCAGTTCAACTACCTTACATAGCCGGTCACTCCCTTTAACTTATCGTGTTTATTCGGACACACCGTACATTATGTATTTTTACCCAATACTATGAAGCTAACATGATTGTAAACGATTTATCTTTCACAAACTTTTCCTTGTTTCCAAAATTGGAAAAGTTACAATTTTCTTTATTTTATTCTATGATATACTGGAGTCTTGATAAAGAAGCTTCAGCCATATATCATCCTTACAGAATTGAAATACTAGAATTTACATAATGTATTTTCTGCCCAGTTTTTAGGCACAGGGCCGGTTTTTATATAATTAGAATTAGTTACAGCTCTTTACCATGTTCATTATTCAATTAGAACAGGAATTTTTTCTATTTAATGTTTCAAAATTCTCTAATTTTTCTCCTTTGAAATTTGATTTTGTTTTAAATTAATTCGTGTTTTCGTTTGTTTACATCAAAACTTCTGCTTGCATTCTACCCCTTTAAATGTTTTTTGTTGCATTCTACCCTTTATGATATTGTTTGCATTCTACCTCCCCAGTAGATGTTGTTTGCATTCTACCCCTGTATATGTTGTTTATATTCTACCCTTATAGATGTTGTTTGCATTTTACCCCTGTAAAAGTTGTTTGCATTCTACTCCTGTAGATGTTGTTTGCATTCTGCTTTGTATATGCTGTTTGCATTCTACTCCTGTAGATGTTGTTTGCATTCTACTCTGTATATGCTGTTTGGATTCTACCCCTGTTGATGTTGTTTGCATTTTACCCCTGAAGAAGTTGTTTGCATTCTACTCTTGTAGATGTTGTTTGCATTCTGCTCTGTATATGCTGTTTGCATTCTGCTCTGTATATGCTGCTTGCATTCTACCCTTGTAGATGTTGTTTGCATTCTACTCCCGTAGATGTTGTTTGCATTCTACCCCTATATATAAGAATGTAAAGTTTTAACCTCCTATTTCCTACCTGAACTCGTTAGTGTGCAGTTTATGTAATTTGTTTAGGATTTATTCTTCAAAACTAGATTTAGATCTAGATAGAGATCTAGATATAGATCTAGATAGAGATCTAGATTTAGATCTAGATAGAGATCTAGATATAGATCTAGATAGAGATCTAGATTTAGATCTAGATAGAGATCTAGATATAGATCTAGATTTAAAACTAGATAAAGATCTAAGGATCTAAAAATCTAAATCTCTATCAATATCTGAATCTCTACAAATCTAAATCTCTAACTAGAGCAAACCCTTTATTAAGAGATTAATTTATATCTTTTGTCTAAATCTTTACCTAGATCTTAAACTAGATTTAAATCTATACTTAGGTTTTAATCTAGATTTAAATCTGTACCTAGACCTTTGATCTAGATATAAATCTCTATCTAGATCTTAATATCTACCTAGATCTTAATATCTACCTAGATCTTAATATCTACCTAGATCTTAATCTTGATCTAGGTAGATATAAATCTCCATCTAGATTGTAATCTCTAACTAGATCTCTATCTTAATCTTAATCTCTATCTAGATGTCAACTAAACCTGTTTAAATCATGAACCATAAAGATGTCTTCTCTCTCTCTATTAATGTTGTTTGTATATAGAAAGGGGAAATTTAATATATGTATAATGGATATATACAAACATAAATTCAGCCATTAAGAAGGATTAAGTAAGCTAAACTAGTATCCCTTTAAATCCAACATTAGCGAGGGAAAGCTTGGGTTCAGTTTTCAACTAGGAAACATTAAAGAGACTGTTCACGTAATATCAATTGGCCCTTCACTTTTACAGTAGTATTTTCAATTCACAACGGTACCAACCTATCAGGAAGAAATTGTAGATTTCTATCTTCTGAAGACACACTTTCAGAGATCAACTATAGTTAATAATTTTAAGATGGATGGTCACAATTGTAATTGCGTGTACGTACAGTCCCTGTTAGAACTAGAGACTAGAGAGATTGAGAGATATTGAAAAAGTTAGAAGAAAATTTACTTAAATATTGTTCAATGGTTCCCACTTGACAAAAGAATGCACTCTCTTTTAATTCTTTTCCTAAAGCAATGTAATATAAACAAATTAAATGTTTAATTGTTTGATCTTAAGTTGACAAATTTCCATAAAATTCACATTTATAGCTTAAAGTTAAATAGCTTGATAAAGACTTCAACATGCATGTTTCATTCTTTAAAACAAAGTATATATATATATCCTAATTAGTGACATAAAATTTGTACAATAATATGTGTTGAATCTTTCCTGGAGATATCTTAGATTTTTAACCGGAAAAGATCAATCAGTCCTGGGGTTGAAAATCTTGTATTCTCAAAAGTGCTCATTGCGGATTACAAGATAAAGGGTTCGGGATTATAAATATCCAACACAAAAATTCACAGCTCCGGATATTTTACTTGACTTGTACTATTGTGAATCATTTATGACACTCTAGGGTTCCCAAGACCAATTTTTCATACACAACATCAAGAGCGCAAATCGTCTTTGTAGATCAAAATGCGCAAATTTTCATAGAACTTTAACCTTAACGTCACAATGTTAGGGGAATTTTAGGTCGGTAAAGAAATTATATTGTTGTAAAGAAAATTAAAGAAATCAAAAAAACAATGGTCTTTGATTTTTTTTGCAGAATTTCTTTGCATATTCCATTCTAAAATTTCCCAAATTTTCTACTTTTCTCTAACTAAAGTTGCAAAATTCTAATATTTTAAATTGAAGTGTGTAAACTTTGCGGGTGAAAACTTTTTGTTGAATTGTTTTGACATTTTCTGATTTATTCCAGGTTACTTTGGAGAATCTAACAGAGGATGCATCCTACTGGATCAAGCTCCGGGGTTTCTCCAGGAGCATAGTAAACCCTGCTCTGGTCTACGAGGGGGACTGGAGTGAGATCAGGAACCTGGTTCTCAAGGGAGGATGTCAGGTTGCCAAGGCCTACACTGTAATAGACTCCCAGAGTATGGCTCTGCACCTGAATGCTGGTGTTATTGCTGGTCTAGGAGTAACAGTTCTCCTTGTTGCTGGAGCTCTGCTCTCACTAGCCTTCTGGAGAAGGTACTGGAGTGAGTCCTATTACTACCTGGAGGAAACATCCTCTAACAAGTATCCTACCCCAGACTGGGATGTAAAGAGTGCTGTGCCTGCACATCTGTTTGTACAGTATGTACAGAAGCTACGGAGCTCCGGGTTCTCCCAGGAGTTTGAATCTTTGAACCTGGAAAATACAAACCTGGTCAAACAAGCAGATATATCTTCTCGTCCAGGCAATAGAACCAGGAATAGATACAACAATGTTCTAGCATGTAGGTTTATTAAATCCTTGACAAGACTAGACAAGACAAGACAAGCCAAGCCAAGCCAAGACAAGACAAGACAAGACAAGACAAGACAAGACAAGACAAGACAAGACAAGACAAGACAAGACAAATTTGACGAAAAAGTTAGTTGATTCAAAGTGAACTTTAAATTCTAGATCAAATAGTGAAAGTTTGTACAAATATAAAGGTTTACACTATTATAGGTTGAAAGGTTTTAAAGATTAAAAACTAGAGTTTGAGGTGAACTTGTTTAATTCACACAAGTTTTCTTGAAAACCTTGTTATTCTGTTTAATTCAACTAATATTCTGATAATTTATTCTCTAGAATGAAAAATAAGTTGTTTTTGTTCTATTAATTATCATATTTTTCTCCTAACTTCAAAATCATCTTGAAGCGGGATCTCGCTGCGGATATTTTACCAGCTCTATGTCCCGGCCTAATGCTATTAAAGAAAATTTGCATATCATAATTTGCTTTTTAAATTACGCATAATCTCCAGGGAAAGACGGCGATTTTCGAAATCATTTCTGAAAAAAATATCTTTATGAAAGTCCTGATATTTGAGCCGGGAAAAGAACTGATTATTCGTCACAAAATCTATATTTCAATGGGACTTATGAGATCTTTTTGAATCTAATAAGTTTGAAACGTTAAAAATTAGGTTTAAAAATTTTAGGAATTATAAACTTAGAGTTTGAGAAAATTGTTCAGTTCCCTTAGATTGCTGTCCTCTAAATTGTTCAGTTCCCTTAGATTGCTGTCCTCTAAATTAAATTTTCAGATAGACAAACAAGGAATTACAATTACAATTACAAAGCTGTTCTTTTAAAAAAGCATCTTTAACTGCAAAAGAATTTCCTGAACATTTTTGTCACAAATTGTCATGTTTTATAAAATGAAAAATATTTGTCTTTCTTTATTGTTATTTAAGAAGTCGTGGTGTGAATTTGGTGCTAAATTTTGTTGTTTATTAAAGTTTGCACATAGTGTCACTAGAATAGCACATTGTGAAACTAGGGGAGGGGTGGGGGTTTGTAGGCAGATTTGACAAAACAAACTTATTTTATTTACAAAGTTTGAAGTTTGTAAAGTTGGATTCTAATTGGGTAAAGAAAAGAGGGTTTGTTCTAATTAAAGGGATTGTTGTAAAATTTAAAATACACGTTGTTTAACAATTTACAATTTTATATTTTTTGCCACAGAAAAAGAAAACATAAATAAAGTATGGATTTTTTAAGTGACGTAAATAAAATTGGTAGATTTTTAATTCAGGAATTTTAAAATGGTTTTCAGTGTTATTGTCGTAAATACAGCCAAAGAAAACCGCCGATCAAAATTGAAAATAATTTCAACAAAAGAAAATGTTTAGAATACAAAAAAGCTTGATAAATCAGAATCAAGGAAAAAAGGTCATTAAGATACTTGATACATACAGACATGGAAAAATGGTAATGCACTGCCATTGGTTGAAGTTCTGATCACGTGATACAGACGTATTAATCATATTATCAATGATATCCAAATAGATTGTTAAGTACAATAGATGGCAACGTAGAATTTGTACACTCTCAGTACAGTTGTATTCTGTCGTCACAAGTGTCAATTCAGTTTTTGTGTCCGACAAAATTATCAATAATAGTGATAATTTTAAAATAAAGTGCTTTTCTTACAGTAAAATAAGTGAAATTTATGTTTTTTTAGTTTCTGTTTTTATTTAATCTTAGTAAACATGTCAACTAATGTGAGACAATTTCGTTTTCTTTGTTATATTTGACACTTGTGACGTTGTGTATAATTTGTTCATTTCACTGTTGCCACCTATTGTACTTGAGAATCTATTTGAATGATATCTATTAAAACTGAAATATTATTAAATTGAAATTATAAAAGGAGCAAGTCTGAGGCTACTACGGGAAACCGTTGTGTATTTGTTGAATATACCAAATCTCATATGTATGAGTTTTAGTATAATTTTGACACAGTTTGGCATCAATTTCTCGAGACAGGAACATTTCAGATAGAACTCTTATTGGTCCGGATCAACTTCTAAAATGAGAAGGTTTCAGTCTATACCACCTTTCATTTTACCTTTACAGTCCCATTAATCATTACTAATCGTATGAATAATTAATGATAGGAGTTGTTCCATAGACCATTTCTATTGTAATAAAGAAATGTACAAATGTACTTTTTCATATAACTAAAAAGTGGCAACGTCTAACAATTGTAATCCTTAAAGAACTAATTTTTTAATAAAATCTGTTATTTTATAAATAATTTGAACCTCTTTGTTTAGGATAAATGTGCATGCTACTGGCCTACAACTAAGTCTGTGGTGAAGAACTATGGGATTATATCTGTATCTCTACTAAGTGAAAAAGTTTTAGCAAACTACACAATAAGAATATTCTCTGTATCCAACACCAAACTCAAACAAAGATCTGGTCTTGCAACCAGGGAGATAAGACAATACCATTATACCAGCTGGCCAGATCATGGGGCCCCGGACTATCCTCTTCCAATTCTATCATTTATCAAAACGTCAAGCGGGAGGGAGGGTCCAGGGCCCACAGTGGTTCATTGTAGTGCTGGAGTAGGACGGACAGGAGCTTATATTGTTATAGATTCTATTCTCAAACAGCTTAAAGCTAAGGGTGAATTAAGTATAGACCCGTTTCTTCGTCATATAAGAAAACAAAGAAATTTTCTTGTTCAAACCCTTGAACAGTTTGTTTTCATACATGAGGCTTTAGTTGAGATAGTATTGAGTGGAGAGACTAGTATTAAACTATCTTATATCTCCCGTTATATCAACAGTCTTCAGAGCAGTTTTACAACAGACGAGACCACAGTTCCTTTCCAGCTGTTAGAGCGACAGTTTAGTCATGTGACAAGCTTTAAACCCACAGAGCAACAGTTCTCAGCCGCCATTCTCCCCTACAACCAGCTCAAGAACCAGAGTTTTGATTTTATTCCGCTAGATGGCAATAGGGTTGTTCTCAGCCAAATGCCCGGTGTGGACGGATCCGATTATATCAATGCTAGTTGGATGCCGGGATATACAAGTTTAAATGAATTTATTCTCACTCAACACCCTAAGGAGCAAACTACCGAGGACTTCTGGAGATTGGTTTGGGAACAACGGGTTCTTACAGTGGTCTGTTTATCATGTGTTCAGGATCCAGATTTCCCCGTGTTCTGGCCTCATGAACAGAAAAGGGTTGGAAACATTATAGTTTCCCCCACCGAAGAGGGTTTACTCTGCGGGTTCCAAACCAAGGATTTCTCTCTCCGACTCCACAATGAGACACAGAATATGAAGGTTCGTCTTATCTTCTGTCCTGAGTGGTCCTCTGAGAACCACTCCACTATGTTGAGTTTAGCTGGTGTACTCAACTCTATCCCTTCTCCTCCCATCCTCGTGATGGATACCCTAGGTGGGTTTCAGGCTGGAACCCTGATAGCTCTTTCCTACCTCACTAGGCAAGCTAAGGTTGAAGGATGTGTTGATGTATATCAGACAGCTAAGACTCTACACTACAGTAGACCTGGTATCTGGGTTAGCAATGAGACTCTGCTAGGATTATACAAAGCAACCCAAACCTACTGTCTGGAGTTAGAGAACAAAGGAAAACCAGACGGAACTCAAGATAAATCAAAATCAAAGTTTTAAACCAAAGAAATAGAATGAAGACCAAAGGATGTTTTGACCAACCCTCAAAACTGAAAAAAAACCTCAAAAAATTTACCAAACATTTGCAATTTTTCAATTCTCAATTGAAAGCTATGAATAAAAACAACAATACTAGTCGTTCCCAAAACTCGACATGGTAAAAACTATATGTTTGTTGTCTAAAATGTGATTATTTAGTCTCAAAATAAATATAGAAACCAAAGATAATGTTGCTATACGACCCAATTGTTTTTGTTTAAGAATTTTTAAGGGAACTCGTTCCCTTGTTGATTTTATAATTATCGTTATAAATAAAATATAATAAGTATTTCCGAACATGACGATTTTTTCATACCTTACTATTTTGTATAGTAAATTGTGTTTGATGCAGTCATAGATTAATTGAAATAACAGATAGGACACTAAATGTCGTCTATTCAAGATTTATAAGTATTTAGTTCACAATAACCCTGAACAGAAGCCCAAAGGAGTTACACTTAGTCGGGCGTGGTACAGGTTCTCTCGTAGACAGAAAAGAGAAGGGATAAAGAAGAACAACCCTAAATCAAATATGCTAATATATACGCTGTGGTTTACAAAGATATGAGCTATAGATCTCAAAGAATCAAATTGTCATGACTTAACGCACTTTAAGAAATGTCTAAGAAAAAGTTACGTTAGAAAAAGCCGATCATAAAAAAATCGTAAAACATTAAAGTTGGTGTTTTTTTCCCAAATTAATGCGCAAAATTTGTATTTTCTTCTATAGAGGAAAATAGTATTTTTTTGACTCTTCATCTCAACCTTCAAAGGAATTGAGGTTTGCCACTATTACTTCTGACTTTCAAATCTTCAGAACACATTGTCGTAGACCTTAGATTTTTCAAACTATATATTTTGTTGCATCAACTCATCTAATTTTAAAATATCAAAGGTTTACAACACTAGGTTGCAAAGATATAAGGATTCCAAAATTGCGTTTGTGGCAAAGACTTTAAATTCACTTGCCATGCAACAAGAAACAGCTTCGTCGCCGTATATATCAATACAATAAAGAATCTTTTAAGCATCAAGGATGCACATAAACACGGAAACAAAGAGAAGCTGCCAGTTAACAGCTTCTCTTTTTTTCTTGTAAACTTGTATTAAAAAATCTTGTTAAGAATCAAAACTTAAAAAGAAAATTCGTCGTCAATGTATTGAAGAAAACGCCGAGTTATACTATACGTTATAAATATGCAGAGAAACTACAATCACGGATCAAGGTTTGCGCTATTTTGCTTAAACTTGCCAATGTAAGGGCCGTAATTGTAAGAAACCATCTAATAAAGAATTTTTTTTAATAAAATAATCAATATGAAGCTGGGTGATGGATAGCGTTTTTCCTTATTTTCCTTAAACTAATGCTAACTCTTACCTAATGCAATTTTTATACTTTAAAAGAAACGTCTCTAACACTGACATTTTTTAATAGAAAATATTTGAAAAAGTTTCATTAATATTTCTAATTTATTTCCGCTAATTATAGCTTTAAACTTTTTTCATTTTCCTGTGCATCGAAAAATGTGGAATAAATGTCGTCTTTGCTCTTCCTAAATATTCAATTAAGACATTCTAAGAATTTTGTAAGGAATTGAATCAATTTGCAACAGTATGAGATTTTCAAATCTCTGTATCTTTGCAACCAGATGGTGTACGTAAACCATTGCTATTTTAAACTTGAATTATTTGAACCAACAGAATTTATAGTGTTAAATATCTGAGGTCTAAGACATTTGATTGCAAAGATATAGGGATTAGAAAATCAAAGTTTGTAACAAAGACACAATTCCTTTCCAGTTGTTCCAAATAATAAATCTTTTTAATATTTATATAAATATAAATGTTTAAAAATCAGAACCTTCGTTTTGAGATCAAGCATTAATCTCCATCATAGATGCCACTATTGGATACCGAGATTAAGCTCTGGCTCTCATTGTAAAAATGTATCTGCAAAAATTGGAAAAATTATAAATTTGCAATTTTTTAAAAACGAAATATTTTTTTTGTAAAAAAGTGAAATTTTTAATGAAGAAGCAAGAAATTTCTTTGAAGTAAATCCAATTAAGACCCAAAATTTCTGAAGTTACTTGATTACTGTATTGTAGCCTGCAACTAGAGAACTTAATTATAACAAATATTATAAAGAAAACCAATGAAAATAAAAAAACGTAGCCACAGAGGTATGAATACAAAACATAAGTTAATCCTAAATTTGCGTCTAACAAGTTTAAAATGTTAATTTTGGTAAAATTGTATTTTCTTCCTAGAAAAGTTTCAAAATTATTAATTAATTAGGTTTAGGGTTTTAATCATTTTTTAGAAAGAAAAAAAAAACAGATAAAACTTCTACTATACCTACCGCTAAATTAGTTTTCATAGAAATTCAATGAAAGACTTCTTTAGAATTAATAAAATTAGATAATCGTTCAATTCGTGGAATATAAATAGTCTTTTCTAAAAGGAACTGTCTACGTACTTTTTACATGACCCTTAATTTACTGTTTTTTTACAATTCAAATTAAATATTTTTATTTTTGAGTGGCCCAGGACCCTCCATTTAACAAAAGGACAGGTCCACTACGACAGGCCATTTATACTCTGATCAAAATTTGGGATTATGTACACAGTACAATTGTCCCTTTCAAATTTCATTAAAACACCACAATTTGAATAATCATGATTTTTAAAGATAAAACTTGGATACTTCATTCATTCTTGACAATAAAAAGATTTGTTTTGGTAGCATTGTGAATAGGACATGCCACATACAGCAACAAAGCGATGTGAGGTGTGCGGGGGGAGGTAAATTCTATATCTGTCTACATCAACATCACAATATTGTCAAGAGAATTGTAAAATAATGGTAGCGGAAAAACTAAGCGTAGAAATATACCTAATATAAATAGAATTGATGCCAACAATTCCTGGCAGCCCGGCTTCAACCATCTGACACAGTTGACTTTATTTCCAATATTTCTAGCCCCCCCACCGGCCCCCCCCCCCGGGTAAGCCAAGAAGAGGGGGGGGATTATCATTGATACTTTAGTCAAGATGAAAGGGGGGGGATTTGCAGAAACTCGGTCCAAAATGAAATACATTTCCCGAGGACAACTCCTAGTCCAAACTAGGGACAGTAGGGATGGAAGAGTTTTTAAAAAGAATTTAAAATTTAGTTGAATTAATAGAAGATTGTGTACGGAATATTAAGAAGAAGATTAAACAACTGTTAGATGTTCTATTTTCCACTGGATTTAATAAGGGAAAAAATCTTTTAAAATAAGAGCTGATATTTCTGTTATTTCTGTTTTAGTTTGTTATGATATTATTGTTAAATTTTCCAATTCTTTTCTGACCAAAGGAATTGAGTCATGTGCATTGCCACACATTATGAACTTGAAATATCAAAGGGTGTCTCTATAAGGATTACAATATATAGGGATTAGAAAACCTCTGACCAAAACTAAGGTGCCCATCTCTAAAAATGGAATTCAAAATACAATAATTTAAACTGTGAACTTAAAACTTTTTTAATAATTTGAATTTTTGTAATTTAGCTATAAAATGCAATGTGTGTGATAAAATTTTACTTGAACTGCAAGAAAAAAACCGAAATTTTTTTCAATTAAAAACATTTGTTTATTAACATTTTTTCCTACAGTTTATTTTCTGAAATATTTGCCAAAAGAATTTCGTCCTAGATTTTGACTGAATACATAAAATTTTTAAATTGAAAAATGTGTTAAATTTTGTAATTTCATTAATACCTTATTTTATAATTCCAAGATCTCTCGTACAAATATATAGATCTGTACTTTAGAGCAGAATAGAATTCAGAGGAAATGCTATATATATTTACATACATATATTATATACACATAGACACAGTGTTTCGTCCTAATACAAAATATATATGTATATATAACCGAATATAAAATATATATGTATATATAACCGAATACAAAATATATATGTATATATAAACGAATAATTCGTTTTCAAAGTTTCATTTAAACTTTCTGTAATAAATTTGGCATCTAATTCTGCAGCGAGAGTAATAATAACTGAAAGGGATTATAAACGCAATGTGAGTTGAACCTCTATTTACAAAGTTACATGTCTGATTTAAACCTGTACCCTTTGCGCAACTCCTTTTTAATGAAGGGTCATCTAAAATGACGTCGATTTTGAAAATTAATCTGTTTTTTTTTTAAACATCCATAAGATGTCCCATTATTTTGTACTGTGTAATAAGATTGTTGAGTGTCTGTATTACTCCATAACAGTTTCTCGAACACATATCTGTGCCAATATTCGCGGATTTGTTAAGTTGATACTCGAGCTGGGACAGTGGGAATCAAGTTTTCAAATATGAAACTTGACCAAATTTTAGGCCATTGTCACAGTTGACGAATTGCATTAATTGACGAAATGTGAAATTGACGAAATGTAAATTACCCAAATGTAGTAATTGACAAAATGTAAGGTTGACCAAATGTAAGGTTGACCAAGTGTAAAATTGACAAAATGTAAATTAACATAATGTATCCACCCCGCTAAATTGACAATTTACAACGTAATTTATCTAGATTTACTATAGGGCCTCTATTTTTGCTACATGTTTTCTTCTGAAAATTAAGCCTTAAAAGCATTTCTTTAGGTACATGATACATCTCTTGTCAGCGAATCTACAAACCATTAACTGCAGCTTGAAGGTAGTTAACGAATATCTGCTATATCTATCGATGACACCGTTTTAAGATATAGATCGTTGACAAACGGCAATTTCAGTATCGAACGAAAAAAACTAATGGCTTCTTGATGAACCTATGAGTTCTGTAAATGTTTTAAATTATGAAACAAAGTTATATGTATGATCCTGAACATGAGAATTGAGTGACGATTTTGATATTGTATATTGATAAAACGATTTTGATATTGTATATTGATAAAATGATTTTGATATTGTATATTGATAAAATGATTTTGATATTGTATATTGATAAAATGATTTTGATATTGTATATTGATAAAATGATTTTGATATTGTATATTGATAAAATGATTTGTTTTGATTTAGTATGATAATTTTCCGATTACAAACACAACTCAGTTCGTCTCGTAGACATATTACAGACACAGTATTCTACAGTCTTTTACCGTTTACATAAAATATACTATAGC